TCCATCTCGTTATTGGCTTCAAATTGGTCATTAATTATACTTATCGTACAGCGAGTACCGCCGTACTAGGCTCACTCTGGCCGACAGCCAACTTGAGTTGAAGGGGTCGATACTGACAATCAAGCCCAGGTCGTCTGGGGTCCAATTCAATCTTACCACGTTGAATCTTGACGACCACGTCGGGAATCTCTATGGAGAGCTCGTGTGGGGTCATCAGAAATTCAACGTGTCGTGCAAAGATGTCCGCCTTGAAGGGACGCTCCTAGTCGCCTCATGCGACTGTGGTAACAAGCAGTGGAAAGAAGCCAGGTTGGACTTGGAGGAGCACATCACTTACACCATCGCTCGGCGCTGCTTTGAGGCCATCCTTCACGACCCCGCTTTCACCGAAATGATGTCTTCGGCCGCTTGGATGAACGTTGCCGTCATCACCCAGCCTGACATGCGTGGCTTCCTCAAGAATCCGGCATTCCAGGAGACTATCAAAGGGGTCGCACGGCGCGCGGTTGAGGAGGTCATCAACGAGATGAGGGAGGAGATGTCGCGTGCGGTCGAGAGGGCCGTGAGCCAGGTCAGCATCCGTGCTGAGGAGCACGTCCAGTACGAGATCCAGTCCCTGACCAAGAGGGCTACCCTCAATACTGCCGCCTACTCTGGGCTGGGCGGGCTTACGGTGATGTCGCACGAGCAGACGCGTGCCTACAACACCTTTGGTCCATTCATTGGGCTCGGGCATGGACACCTTGCGACAATGAAGGGCACCTTCTCCCATCTAGCCATGGGAGCCATGGGGGTACTGAAGGGGGGTGCTCACCAGTCCGTGGACGCCGCGCCTGCCATTGCAGACGAGGAGACGCAGAAATCCATCGAAAAGGCGATGAAGAGACTCGACTTGGAGCCTTGCTCCTCGGGGTTCCCGTTCATAAAGAAAGGGGACGGATATCGGTGCAATGGTGGAACCGAGGGTGGAGCCGGAAAACACTTCATTAGCTTCAAGGACCTTGGCTTGAAGTAAACTCTTCAGGCGTCCGCGTCCCAACACTCATAGTCTGTACGGAACACGCTCTGCTTTGTCTCGTTCATAGTTTGAGTACCTGCTTGTACTTCACCTATACAGCTGCTGCTCCATTCTGTACCACAGAACGCGGCTATGCTGTGAGACAGCCTTAGAAATGAAAGTTGTAGCCCTCGTTACAAGCAATTAGGATGTACTTATGATTCTGGTATGGCCTCCTTAGTTGAGTCACAAAACAAAACACAATTTTGAAGCTGGCAGTTTTTTGGGAATGCCCACTGGTTTTTTTAGCACAGCCACGCTCTGTGGTAGAGAATGGAGCGGCAACTGTATAGGAGACTGGAGAGTCAAGAGGATGGGAAACACTCACCAGACGTTCCACTCGTCAAAGCATCTGTGCCGAGTTCCTTAAATATGTAGAACGGAAGGAAAGCGACGCACACAGGGATATCCTTCGTGAGGTTGCCCTCAATCTTCGCCAGCTCGATCAGCGACTTGGTGATTTCTATGACCTTCTCCGCGGCAGCAGCTATGCGTATAACAATCAGAACATTTCAAAGGTTCGAAAGATAAAGAAGGAGGACGTACGGCCCATGACGTTGACGTCGTGGTTCCCTTCGTTGACGGGGTAGACTGGTACGATGCGTGAGTGCGATGAGTAGGACAAAAAGAAATTGTCGTACGGCAAATGGAGTGGAAGTCAACGACGGGCGCGAGCGTCTTGAGCGTGACGCGGTCTCAGTCAGCGAATCCGGTTTCTGAGCACGTTTCAGCCAGGATAACGCGTAGGATAAGCACAAATCACCTCCGCACGAAACGAGTTTAATCGAAGGGTCGAGAAGGCGTAGCGCCTTCGCCCACTGGAATGCTTGCTTGCCGTAGTCCTCGGCATTCATCTGACCGACTGGAAGAGTCGTTAGTTGAGAATCCCAGAGTATGCAACACACCCTGCCACGGTCCCCAGATTTCATTGCCCAGTGCCCAGTATTTGACACCGTACGGCTCCGGATGCCCATTCTTCCGGCGCATGTTCGCGTAGTGCGTGTTTGCGGAGCTGCGCGGAATGTTTGGTCTTGTGTTTGTAAAAAAAACTATTGCGAAGACGAACCTGTTGCAGTACTCCAACGACGCGAGCGCGTCCTCCAGCTTGCCAGTGCCCATGCAGTGCTGAGGCATATGTACGGCTCAGCCCCGAAGAGGCGGCACCATTGGATGAATTCGTCTTGAGTCGAATGTGAGGGATATCGGCAATGAAAAGCGAACGTACCCGTCCCAAACTGATTGCTCTCCTCGGTCAACCAAGCAAGCTCAAGCCGGCGCAGGCGGAGCTCCTTCGGCCCAAAGCCATCTTTCGGAGCGTGTCAAAATTAATTTCAGGAACAACGGGCACTAACCTTGCCATCGAGAGGAGCTCAAAAAATTCCTGCCACCGAACCGAAATTAGTTTCGCAACAGCAACACAATAAATAAAGAAAACACCCTCCAGGATAGCGTACAATTGGAATCTTGAGGTCCTTGAGCGCATCGAGGACGTCTGTGCGGTATCCATTGGTATCGGCGAGCCCGTGCTCGTCCTCTGGGTCATAGATCCCAGAATAGATGCAGCGTCCCATGTGCTCCGTGAAGCCAGAGTAAATGCGGGGGTCAACAGGCGTGACGTGGCGCGTGGTGTCGATGCGGACACATGCAACAACTCAAACTGCGCATGCAATTAAACACTGGCTCTTGCTTCACATCATGGGTGCGCACCGATTACTTCTTGAATCGCCGTGCAGTGAGGATACCCCCGCGCCCAAAGCCAAGACTTGGCATCCGAAGTTTTACCCCCTGATGCCTCGCTATATCCCGCGACGGTCTTCGTCCGGGAGGGGGCTCTCGTATTCGGATTCTACAACTCAAACGAACTTTGCATTCAACTAAACACGCCGGTGATAAGCCAGCCCTGTGACCAGTGGTGAAATCTTTCGAATTTGCTGTTCTAAGCAGGAGCTTCGTATAGAATAAAGGCTATATCACTCACTATGAGCTAGGATGAGGTCTGAGTTGCTAGCTAAGGATGAACACATGTGCAAGTAGCTCTATTGCTTACTTGGGGATGACGGCCACCACAATGGGTCAGATTTGTCAAGTCAAGTACTAGTCTATTAGCTAAAGGTGTTCTTACCATCCTTAACCAAGGGATTGGGAACGGCCCACATGTATCCTATCAAGGACATAGCAATGCACGCCATTCAGACGATGGGACTTACCAGGGGCACGTACGAGGGATCCAATAAGGTTGCGGAACAGCTCTAGATAATAGAACCGTGCGCGGCTCAATAATCCGATCACAGAGATCACCGATCTGAGCACGGAACAGAGATCCGATGTCAGAGATAGTACCGAGCCCTTGGCCCGTGATGCCAGGACTTGCTTTGACCAGGGCTGAGGGGTTGACTAATTGGGCGACTTAAGGGTTGATGGACCAGGGCTTGGTGGAGCTGGCACATGGATTGATCGCCCAGGGCACATACGTGCTATGGCACAATTCGCCTTCCAATCTCCCAGATTATCTACCAAAATATACCATTTAATCAGAACTAATTACCAACAGGGTTATTTCTTGAGCTAATACTGCTCATCACCCTGATATATCCGTGTTCCGTTTATCCATTTGTACTAAAAGTCGGTTTTAGAATCATTTCCTTATTTAGAGCGCCAGTTTGTATAAATACACATGGAAAATAGAGGGAACGCCAGTAGATCCTGCCCTTCCTCTTCAGTGAGCACGAGCGTGAGCTTGAGCACACAGGGGATGTCTAGCATCTATTCGGAACACCTTCAGAAAGCTTATAAAGTTTCCTTTTGTTGTTTCTGTTGCAATATATAAAGTGTTGGATATTTGTGGAGTGATATGAGACAGGACCAGACCAGACCAGACCAGACCAGACAGGACAGGATAGGACAGGACAGGACTTGCTTCGTTAAAAATCACATAAACATTGGAAGGCGCTCGGCTTTGTGCAGTAGTCCATCTACCAAACCCTAGCTGATACATTGGTTGTCGGAAATACATCATTGGAAATAAAACTTTCGATCTACAGATCACCCCTTGGGCTTAGTTCCAAGTCTTGCACATAAAAACCCAACTTTCCTTACCTTCTAAGGTCGTGTAAAGCGCCTAGAACAGTTTCGATCGTCTCAAAGTCACCTTTAGCTATAAGCTCCTGCACTTGCCTGTAAAACCTAAATTTGTTGGGATTTCTGCTTCAAGGTATTCAATCCTTGAGTTCACGCAATATTCGGTTCAATCAATATAAGATTTACACAATGCCCGTGAGGGCGGGTGGTACAAGCTCGTAAGGTTATGTGGTCTTTTCCTACTGTATTTATACTGTCTATCCGGGTCACTCTGAGTCATATAATAAATATTCCATACTGTTCTGTACTGTTCTTGAGTATTCTCTCTCATTCTGTATGATTCACGGTGAGTCGTGTACCTGCCCGAGATATCCCCGAGCCTCGGTCATGTGCCCGAGTGCTCATACGCCAATAAAATTGCCACTGCCTAATATCTGGTAGGAACCCCGAACTTCGCATGTTTGATAGTTGGATTTGTTGGTTGTTGTTGGTGTGTTGGTTGTTCACTTAAGTGTTCATCTTGCACACTTAATTTCACCAGTGGTTCTATAGTCAGCATTTCACCGGCCCTTGCTTAGGAACTCCCACCGCCTGAATTCAAGGCTTGGCATTCGAACTTGGTCACTGATATTATATGTGTGCCTCGTTGTATCCGGCAATTATCCCGCCACACAGACAGCAACCCAATTATGGGGTGTAGACCGAGGAGCGTGCAGCGTGCGTCTGGCCTGAATGTGATCGGCCTTCAAGCTTCAGGCAGGATGCATGAAGTAGTCTTGAGAGTTATGCAGAAGCTGTGGTCATTCAGTGGTAATGTGTTCTTTTTTGTCGTGGCACATATATAGTCACAGAAGAAGGGAAAGGAGATCCAGTGGCACGCGGGGTGTGTCTGCTTTAAATTCAGCTTGGGGCGTGGGCTTTATGCGGGAGGTCCTGGTTCGACTCCAGGCTGAGTCATGGAGGGTCTCGGGATTTCTTTCCCGTCCCATTGGTCCGCGAATTATTCAGGGTCTGACGATGGGGGACACGCTTGCAGCAACTCCCGGCATAAGTCTCTTACTATTTTTCTCGGAATTGACATTGGCTAATTATCAGTGTCTACAGGAACTCAATGAAGGGCTACAGATCCAGTAGCACGCCGGGTCCATCTGCGTGCGATTCGCTAGGGTGATCCACGTCCGATGCAGAAGGTCCTGGTTCGACTCCAGGCTCGGTCATTTGGCAAAAAGGTTTTCCTTTTTGTATCTTCGTATTCGAGAATCTAAAACCGAGGCCTCCCGAGGCTGCACTCTGCCTCGAACTGTCGCTCACGTCGCAGGCCCATCCGACAGCAAAATTCTACCAAACAATATGATTAGCTTGCTGGATGTAATCAAAGTTACCGCGGACTTACCCAATGACAATGTACTGCCAGAAAGCCCTGTCCGACCGACTCATGGCGCCACCATGGAAGGCCATCGAGGCCGCGGTAAGCTTGCAGCGCTCAGGGAAGTGGATCGTAAGAAAGTTATGGAGGCTCCCTTTGCCGGGATTTTTTGAAGGAAGTTAAAAGACTTGTCGACCCAAAACCCGCACCGGTTTCTGTCACAGCGGCGAGTTTCAAGGGAGTATTTGAGAAACGACTCAACCCACCAGAGGTTCTGCCATCCCAGTTCGATGCAACACAACATGGCATGAACAAGATCCTGGCAAGTTTGCTGCCCCCGCTCACAGAGGATCACACCCCAGAAGGATTCTTCACGGAAAGTGGGGAGAAGAGGACATGGGTCGCCTGAAAGACCACCTGCGTAAGCATTCGCTGGACAGCTCGGCAGGGGAGGACCATACTTTGTACGTGGACTTGCTTGAAATCCCGAATGACAATCTTGCCCGATTATGCAACGAATGCGTTGCGCCAAAGGACGGTCCTTCTATTTGGTTCATGTCAGCCATAGTCGGCATTCTTAAGCGATCAAAGCCGCATGATAATCCCGATAGCTACAGGCTGATCTTGAAAGCTGCTTCCTGAAAGCTTTGACAATCTTGATCCACTGGCATGTGTTCGATTGGGCGGAGGCAAGAGGTTCGATCCCGCCGGCACAAAATGGATTTCGGCCCGGCTACCGTACCAACAACAACCCGTTTATCCTGCGCTGCCTGAAAGAATGGGCACGGTGGACCGCCGGAATTCGTATAACCTTGAGGTTCCGAAATACTCACGGCGACTTACAGGCAGCGAATGGATCCATATTAAACAGTTCGGGCTCGGCTCTTGATGGGGGCTGAGATAATCTTAGCTTGGAATGAAAGGTTGGATGCAGGGGGGTCGCCGTATAGTGCGAGAAGATGGAGAAGCCTGTGTTAGGATTCAGAAACGAAGAGCTGGAAAGAGTGATTGGCCGTCCACGGACCCTGCGCGCGTCTGCTCTGTGTCCCTCCCGACCGGTCGGGGAAAGTTAGATCGTTGGCATCGGGAGCGTTCGTCCTAGTGAAGCCAGACGATGCCCAGTGCACGCGAGAACTTGTGAGGGAATGCGCCCCGCAGCTGCGCAATGCTGCAGACTGAATCCCCGGTTCTTCAGCAACGATGCAGAGCAGTGGTGTATCTGTGCCCAACCGCAGGTCAGAAGTAAACCGATAAAGGAATTGTGAAGAAACGCGGACGGTCGTCCGGCTCCATTGGAGGAGTATGAGTTTGGGCGGCTCGGTTGGGTGCGCAAGCTTAAGGCGGTGTTTAGTCGAATCCGCAAGAGGGAGAGGAAGAGCAGGAGAAAGAGTCGGAAAGACAAGCGGAAGGGGAATCGGTTAAGGCAATCAGTACTCGTAGCGCGCAAGACCTTCAGACTCCAGAGAAGAGCTTGGGGCGGTGTCGATAGCATCGCGTGTGCGCATGGCGGTGGCGGTTTGATGGCGGTTCGAGGTTGGTTAAGAGAAATCGACGGCTGACGCTGCGCATCATTGATGCGATGCCGGCAGCATCTGATATCATCAATGATGCGCCCCATGCGTCAGCCGTCTGCTTCTCTTGTTCTCAAACCGCGACGAAACGACAAGGCGGGCTCGAACTTGCTCGCCCTCGGCTTTGTCTGCCCTGGATCGCCTCATACACTTCCTCTTATCACCAACGGTGCTTTGGCAGAGTGGATCATTATGCTTGCTTAATTTTGTGTTTTGCTTCTACCGAGCGTTCGATTCTTTCAGCGGCCATTTATATTTCGGGCTGCCGTGGACCTCGCCAGTGGCTTTTAACAGCCTCGTTTTTCTGTGGAATGCCAGGGAAACGCGCCACGCGGAGACCGCTAAATTTCGAAAACAGTCGATCTGCGGAATTCCACTGGAAACCCCGCTGGCAGTGTAATCCACCGAGCTTACGGACAACGCTGCACCTTCGAAATACCTGTCAGATGGAAGGATTAAATAGTATAAAGTCCTATGTAAGGTTCCAGACCGATAGCTGAGAGGTATCATGTACCACGACGGTGGCCAGGATGACTGACCCAAAAAAGCAGTCGTGCTTTCCCGAGTGCGTTAAGGAAGGTAGTTCAACCTTTCATCCAGTAGCATTAAAGACGGAGGCCCAGCCTCAGGGGATCAGAAAAAGCCCCAATTCACGCAGAAATGGTGAAGAAATGGCGACGATAAGTGAGGCGAGCAGTCCGATGGCAAGATCAAGCCCTGGCCATCTAACTCTCCAAAGGTAGTGCCGAAAATCTAACGACTTCTTGACTAGTTTCCCACTGTCAGAATCCGTCTCCAGTCGGCCAGTCAGCAACTCCTTGGTCCGTGATGATGTCTCGATCCCCTCGTCAATCCAGGCTTCCATAGAGAGTTGAACCAATTTCATAAGCTCTTCAACCATGGGAACAGTAACCTCTGTTGAAATATCGAACGACACTGGAATATGGAGGCCTGAAAGCACGATTCGGAGGTCGTTAATCCAACACATCTTTTTGGCCCCCGCAAGTGTCAAATATTGTTGCAAAGCATTCCATGCTGGCCGTTGGGGCTTCTCTTCCTCGGTTTTCAGCGCCAGTAAGTAACTCAGATATCTCAGGGTCAGGTAAACACGGCAGTACTTGATTGGCCATATCCCTGTTTCCGAAAATGACACAACCCGCAGGGAGCGGGCTCCCAGTCCTAGCATGCGACGCTGGAACATGCACGGCAAGCTTTCAATTAATTTCAAGCTCTTTGGGTCCACATCCAGGCAGATCTCGCAGCCGGCAGTGAGGTAAGGGTCCAGCCTTGCCATGTACAAGGTACGAGCATCCCATGCGGTCAGGTTTCCCACAAAGCGATTAAGATCCAGGATGGGTTGGCAGCTCTGCGAGCTTTCTTAGCCTTTAATCAGTGTCAACATTTTGAGCATGCAACATTCTAGCGCAATTAACCGATAGCTTACGGGGTCCGTTGCATCTTTATCCTGCTTGAGGATCCGGATTAATATTGCCATGAGCCACGCGCGAGAAGCATCCCTATTGCGGATGCAGACATGGAAAAACTTCAGTATTTTTTCATCCGGAATCTCCATGCCTTCCTTGTACGAAAAATGTTCGCAACCAACAGCAGTGTCCAATCCGTGCTTTTTGACATGTCGCTTCATTGCCTCGATCTCCGCAATGGTAATATCCCGTGTATATGACTGTCGCGGTGAAGTATCAAGAACGGGGTTCTCACGTAGCTCCTCCGCCATACATTTATTGAAGGCCAGTTGCTCCGCATTAAAGGACGACGGCGTGACCGTTGGGTAGTGCAAACGGCACTCAAAGTCAGCAGAGAGATCCTCGAGAGCCACCTTCGCCTTTTTAGGACGCGGATCGCTGCGTTTCCTAACGAAATCCCAAATTTCCTTGTTATCTTGGCATTCCAGTAATTCTTTACGAAGTCCCGCTTGGAGCGCGTGGATCTTTGCGCGCCCACGGTGACCAGGATTCTGATCCTCGTCATCGTCATCATCTCCAGTTTCCCATTCTGTCCGCCGGGGCGGGGAGACCTCAGGTAAATCCGTATAGATTTTATTCTTGCCGTTCGTGGGCACGACGTGCTGCACGGGCGGCAAGAACACGTCGGAGGCCAAGAGGTTAGTTCCATTTTTCGTGGCCTGCCGCTTTTGGGCTGTCTTTGCTAGAGTGTACGCCTGTTTTTTTGAGGTGTTGTCCGTATTTGAATCAACGTGAACAAAGCAAGTTTCTGCGTGGCGGGAAGCCAGGAGCTTTATGGTTGCTTTGTAGATGTCCCCGTTCGGACCTGGCCATCCAAGCATCATGTTGTTGGCAGCGGACTACCATAGTTGGCGAATATCCATTTTTGACGTGTAGAAAACAACCAGGGTGGTCGTAGGTGCAACGGTCCGTAAAGTCTCATGGATAGAAAAAATCCTAGCACGGTCGGCAGTCCCGAAATGAGGTCCGGGGACTAGGAGCGACGAGTTGAGCGGTGATAAGGTTCCGAAGAATATCCCCGCCCCGGCAGCAGCCGTTTTGGATACAACACCCTCCACGTAGACATGAGTTGAAGGGGATTGCACAGAGACTACGCCCCATAGTGAATCGAGGGCTTCATCTGGCGATTCACGTGAATCCATGGTAGCCTGATACAAGGTGTCGATCGTTCGAGAACCGCTGAAGTCCGGACGTACCCCATGCGCGCGGGATGGGATAGGTGCACGATCGAATTGGGATGCATCCAGGGTGAGACCAATCCGCATATGATCGGCCCAATCGTCCTTCGGGTCCGGTGTGGGTGTCTCGACGTGGAACTCCGTCACGAGTGGGAGCAGGCTTTTTGAAACCATCGCGTAGTCAATTGTTGACTCCCCAGCGGGTTTCCATGAAGTGAAGCGGCCAGGGGATGCAGTCTCAAGCGAGATCCCATTGAGGATACAAAGACCATATGTGTCACACTCACGTAGAATTGTGTTGCCGCGCGCATTAACCGTAGCATCGGCGGAGATCCGATGCGAGCAGGGCGTAGCGACA